GTCAAAGGACATCCTCAGGATGGTCCTGGACCCTTAGGGGTGTGTTCATGTTTCTTTGAGGAGGTTGGAGGGCTTACATCAAATCAGAGTCATTCTTGGTTGACTTGACAAGGTCTCAGTTTTTTGTGGGACACGTCCAAAGATGCCAGAAAATGTCGGTATAGCATCTGCAAGGGCCAGAGAATGCGTAGAATCACTATTATTGTCAATCTATCAAGGTTGCAAAAGGGGTCTTGCTCTTCTAACTAACTCTCTGCACTGCTCTGCCAGGCTAAGTGTTGTCAGGGTGGCCCCACCTTGAAGTTCGTTCTTCGCGGCCCAGGAGCTCTGAAAAATCACCTTCAAGCAAGGCCCTGAGCGACGGAGAAGTCGATCGAATGAGGGATCTCACGAGCAAATCCCTGAACACCAACATCACTGACACAGCATGGGGCAAATGATCCAGTGCTGGGGCAAAAGATCCACTTTTCCTGGGATCAGGTGGATCAACTCCTCCAATCCAGCGAGTTGCTGCACCCGTTTTGCTGCGACAGAGGAGTTGACAGCGACGGAGGAGTCTAGAGCTTGCTGTTGGAGGTGGCCAGGACGGCACGCGCGAAGATATTCTTCAGTAGCAAAGGCATGCCTGGAGTGCAAAGAAGAAGGACAAGCATGGGACAAGTCAAAAAAAATGCAAACATGAAAAAATGAGGAATGTTCGGATACAATATGAAGTAATGTAAAATCCAACTTGATTTTGCATCTGTTAATTGCCTATAGGTAACGGCTTTTCTATGGAGAAAGGACTGAAATCCATGAGGAAACCCCACGTGTCAACCATCCTGAGGAGTCTTCATCTTGAGGGCGGCTACGGTGAACAACCTGCCCTGGAAACTTGGGCCGGTGCGAAAGAAAACACGCCACAAGGATCATCAAGATCCGAAGAGAGAAATCATCTAATTAATGTAGACTCTTGGTTAGTAAACCCTCCCATTTGAATTGGAAATTCTCTTCATATGGGGGTCTTATGAATCTAAAACTATAAGAGTACACATTACTTCTCCACTCAGTGGACTGTGGACTTCGCCCACCAGGCCGCCACGCCTGAGGTTTCCATCACCAAATGCGCGTGTCCTTGCGGCATGCATCGGCGCATCTCCTCAGCGGCATCCGGCTCAGCGATGAAGATGGCGTGCGCGTTGACCTTGACCTGCCGAAAGAGCGGTCCATGACTCCATGACGGGGGGAAATGCCAAAGATCCCGCAATGAAGTAGGTGGAGTGGATCCCAGGAAGCTGCCCAGAAATATGGGAAAGTACTAGTATGTACTAGCAGCAGCAGCAGCAGCAGGAGGAATAGTAGTATGTATATAATATGTAATATGTAGTATGTAGTATGCAATATGTGGTATGTGGTATGTGGCAGGTAGTAGGTAGTAGGTAGTACTACTAGTAGTAGTCGTAGTAGTAGCAGTAGCAGTAGAAGTAGCAGAAGTAGCAGCAGCAGCAGCAGTAGTAGTAGAAGTAATAGTTGTTGTAGGAGCAGTAGCGGTAGTAGATGTTTCCACTGAATCAATACCATAAGTTGGACACATTGTTGACATCTGTTGAACTCCTCCTGGATGGGTCGATTTCCCCGGCATGGTCGACTTCCACCGCCTCGCCCGTCAGGGCCATGGCGAGGTCCTCGGCCGAGATGCCGTAGCCGCGGAGGTTGGCCTCATGAACAGGAAAGGCACCAACCAGGGGAGTGCACACTTATTACATGAAATGAGCTGAAGGAAGCTTGGCATTGGAAATGGGACAAGTCAGACCAAGCCACATCGGAGATGAGGAAGACAAAGTAGTCATCCGCATCCTCACGCGTGTGCGTGCTGCTCGTGGAGAGGCGGAAGAGGATGTGGTCATCTAAAGAACACATACATTTTGGGGTTGAATCGCTTAAGTCAATTGGCTGTGGATCAAAACTTCGGCACCTTGGAGCCCCTGAACATGAACAGATTCCTCCAAAAAGTGCTCAGAGTTGATGTTACGGATCTTCATTTAAGACAACCACCCCAAGTTCACATCTATCAACGACCCTGTCGAAATGTCAGACCAAACTATCAAAAAGCTTCTACACCTCCCGGACATGTCAGCAAAACGATCTCGCTTTGCTCCCTCCCCGTCTGTCGCCGTACACTCATCGTCAACTCCACGCACCGCTGTGGATCCAGTCATAATATATAATGACGCCCACCTCCCAATAATTTCCTAAGGCATGGTACATATCCAGTCACTTGCCCCTTCCCTGGCGGGAAATCCTCGCCCGCCCTCCTCCACGCACCCGCCGCACCCCCCCGCCGCACAGCTCCTCCCTGTCCACTTAGCCCCCTTCCCTTCCCACGCAACATCTCCACGCCGCCCTCCTCCGATCTCCCACGGCTCCTTAATAGCTTCTTGTCACTACTAGTAAGGCACTTGTTACTACTAGCGTGGCACTTGTTACTAGTAGCTTTTTGTTACTAGTAAGGCACTTGTTACTAGTAGCGATGCACTTGTTCCTAGTAGCTTCCGATCTCCCACGGCTCCTCCTTGACGATCTCCTGCACGGCCTTCACGCCCGCGGCCAAGGTGTTGTCGCCGCTCCGAGCGGTCGCCGCGTGGTCGGTCATGGCCTCCACCACGGCGAAGCGTTCCAGGCGCGTGGCCGGGTGCTGGCCCATCTGCACGAACGGCAGCCAATCCTGGAAGTCGAAGTTCAACACGATATCAGAATATATCCATTGAACTCAAACTCAATTTGTTGCTTTTGACATCTTTTTCAGGGAAGACACACACGATTGAAAACAAACTGGAAAACTGGATGTTTCGCATTTGGCATGCTTTGGCTTTTGGGCATGCACATGGGAGATGAGCGCATAAATTGAAGCTGGCAGGAGCATATGCTTGTGAGCGACGATTCTTTGGGGGGAAGGCACCGGCACTGGGCTTACCCGCTGCCCCGCGTGGCCCTGTTCCACCAAAGGGATTCAGTTGGCTCAATCTAGTGCTGAGACTCACACAAAGAGTTTCCAAAAAAACCTAGCGCTCGTGTGGCACGTTGTGACAGCAAATGGCCAGGCCCTGAACATAATACGGGTCTCAGTGTCCAAACTAACGATATATCTGGAAGGACATGGCAAACATCGACTGCACATGCCCAGGCTCTGACTCGCCACTGTGTCCGATGATCTCATAGATGTACTTGTGCTCTAAGCCGCACAAGCTCTCCATGATCATCACCATCGTTGCACAAAGCCGGTCTAAGCGGCCGTCGCCATTGAAGACGGCCATGGAACCGCTGACGTCCTCTGACCAAGGGGAAGCACATCCGTGCACGTTGAACAGGGGGACCACTCTAGCAGGGAGGTTGTGAAGGGCTGAGAAAGGCTCCAACACCCATTGTGATTGAAGGCCCAGATACCAACATAGGGAAGCATGCACATGGATTGGGGCCAAAATCACCGGGAAAAGAAGTTCGTTAGTTACCGTTAGTTCTTGCTGTAGTTTGCTGCGACCCATGCAGCCTGTAATCAAGCACTGGCTTCCGTTTTTTACTCATCCCCCATGAGATGCACCGGAATGCAAAGCCAAGGTACCACCACGAAGGACAAGCGCTTGAGCAAGGATTGGATTAAGCTTCGATCTTCTCTCTGCCCTCGTCGCTTGAAGACATTCTTCTCGCCAATGGCTAGGTCCACAATTTTGTTGTCGTCAAATTCACCCACCTTGGCCATTGGTGCGCGGCGGGGTGAATCAGGACCCGGCAAGCTAAGAAGACATGCGGCGGAAAGCTAAGAAGAGTTTCGAAACGTTCAACATGTGGAAAATTTGCTATATAGGTCAATTCTAGTTTTGTGTTTCCTGCACATGATGTTAGGTGCAGATGACAACTGAAGACATGCAAAGACAAACAAGCACCCAAACATCACCCAACGGACCTCCAGCACTTATGGGGGAGAGCGATTCCTTCCTTCCGAAGCCCGCGCGTTGGCCGTCCGCCAGTCCTGTGCATTCCAAGCACCACCTTACCACGGAGCCAGGTGCGCTCGCGCTCTCGTGCTTCGATGGATTGGAGAACCACACGGAGTTGAAGAATCTCCTTCTCCTTGAGAACCACGAAATCGCGGCGGAACTCCCGGCGGATGGTCGGGTGAGAGAGGAATACAGTAGAGGAAGACAGGGGTGGGAGAATGTTTCCTTTTAAGCTTTTTGGTGGCTGGGAGATGCTCACATGCCTCAAATCCAACTCTGCCCAATCAGTTTCGGACACATTGGGAAATCTATAGATTGACTCTTCAGCAAAAGGGTGTGTGTGTGTGTGTGCGTATACACTTGATCCGCCCTGATGCCACCTGAACTACGGAGGACCCCCAAACTTTGAAAAAGAAACATATATAAAGCATCACAAAACTGGCCATTCCGGTTTTACAGCTAGTTGCTACAGCTTTGAAGAGCTCGTCATACTTGGCATGATCAAAATCCTTCAGCTCCATCTTCATCTTTTCCACTTTGTTCACTTCGGAGGCCTTTTCCTTGGCATGTCAATGTCACCACTCTCCTGGATAAACACCACAACAACACAACGATGCATATCATCCTATAATACATATATATATATATATATACATACCGTACATACCTGTGCATGTGTGTATATAGCAATAAGGATTATACAGTAGATTATATTAGTTAAGGTATTATATAATACAATATAATACAATAATGTATATGTTGTCATACTAATTACACCACCAGTGCATCTTCATCTCTTGGCCCATTCCCAAGCACACCAAAAACTCAGCAATATCTTCTTCAAAGCAAGGCTCCCGTGCTTCCTTGATGAGCTTCCCCGCCTGCTCTTGCACCTCCCTCCGGGCACCACCACTCCCACCGGCTCCGCCCGCTCCGCGGCCCCCGCGGCCGCGGCGCCCTAGGCCCCGCCGGCCGCCGCCGCCGCGACCACCGGAGCCACCGCCGCTGCCGGAGCTGCCGGAGCTGCCGGCGTCGGCGTCGGCGCCGTCGTCGTCGGGCACGGCGGCGTCGTCCGCCGCGTCGTCGAGCTCGGGGTCGTCGGAATCTCCTGCTATGGGGAAAGGGCGGAAAGTGTTGATACCTTCACGTTTTCTTCTATCGATCTACATTGAACATCAAGGGCGTGCTGCTTCAGCTCTAAATCGGTTCACCTTCGCAACTCTGACACTTCAGCTGTGTCCTGCCTGCGGTTGTGTCTTCCGCGTCTCGTCGGCCCATCATGTTCCGATAGGTGGCCTCTTGCAAAGCTAGGGTGTCCATGCGCAACTCGACAATGCGTATCTGGGAATCAGCGAAAAGCAGTACCAAGCGCCCATCCTCCACTGGATTTGACAATTGCAACGCCAAAAAATATGCCACAACACCATAGTCTCAGAAACCAGCTGCTGCACCCCCAAACCTGCCTCAACCATCCGAAAAAGCATATTCTCAGGATATCTCAGGATGGGGTCCGACTTGGAGCCCTATAGGCAATAAACGGAACCCGGCTCAAATCATTACCGGCCACCGGAATCGACATGAATGAATGTGTGTGCGTGTGCGTTTTTGCGCGTTGGTAAAGGATGGTAAAGGGAGGCTACCTCCACCACTGTGCGTATCCGTTAGAGTTTGACTCTTCCAGCATCTTGCCAGGGACCTCATGAAGCCTATTGAACATCTTTGAACCCTGCCGGCCTCCAACTCGCAACATGCAATGCACTCCGGCATCTCCAGGCGCTCGACACGACCACGCTCCGGGTTGCGCTGCGTCAGGAGCAAGCCCTGAGTGGCCAAGGAGCCATCAGTACCAGGGCCAGAATGAGTACCTGATGAAGAAACCCGCAAAGCAGCTGAAGCTTTGGCCGAATTGTTAGCATGAGGGATTAGGAATTAGGTATAGAGTATACAGTAGACTGATTTGGGAGAAAAAAACGACGCAAAGGGCTTTACATCTCCAGGGCTGGGGTGATTGTTTTATGAGCCAACAGACCAACCATTTATCTATTATCTATTTTATGTAAATATATAATATATATGTGTGAATATATATATATATAAATACATGTTTTATATATATTTTTGTATATACATGATTTGTTGAATTTCCTGCTCCTCATCGCCTTCATCCAGGTGACGAGACTTCAAGCCCAGTCCCGGCACCTTGCCCAGCACCAGTCGTCGCAAATGACCCGAGGAGAGGTCCAAGGCTTCCAGCAACACCATGCCGAAGCGGGCACGCAAGGGCGAGCTACCCGGAATGGAGAAGATGGAGATGAGACCTCAGGGCAGTGAGTAAGAATATATTAGTAAGATACATTCCTTCTAGAAAAATCGTGAACAGCTCTCACTGGTTCTCGCCATGTCTGGTCATGCACCCATTCCCCCAGGAAAAGAGGAAAAAAAAAGGCTCCGCATCCGAAGATGTCTCCTGGCGCCGGGGGATGTCTCACCCCTCGCCCCCCATCCTCTGAGCTCCACACTCTGGGAGGCATGGTGCCAGCAATGCACCATTTTGTGGGTGAGCTCCATGTTGACCTCCTCTCCGGTCAGCTGGGCCAAAAGCTGGGCAGGTGCCTCCAGCCTCCAGGGATGGATCAGGAGAAGTTGCCCAAGCCGCAGCTTGGGTGTCCCAACACAACCACGAGAGGTTGTGTATAAGGGACCAGGTGAATCGGAAAGGGGCCCTTTCTCACTATACTTACTAGCCTGGAGGTCTGAGAAATATCCTTGATTGTCGAGAGTTTGGGATGGCACATTTGCGTGGTGCAGATCGGTTCGGTCTCTGAAGCTCTTGCCCCCCTGCAACTGCCCCAGGCTGGCCTGGGATATTCCCAAATCCTTGGCGCGAGCGAGTGAAACTCAACACGACCGGACCGAGCAAGGACCAAGGAAGGACGGGCCGCCCCAAAAAGGACGACCACCACAGTGCCTTACAACAAACCTCCGTCAAGCGGCAAACATGAGAACATCTGATTCGCAAGTCAATCGAATGTCTTTTGAAGTCGATCGTGTAGTATGTGATATGACTTGCTGTCGGTATTCCTTGGGCCCGAAGCTGACTGCAAGAGCTGAGTCTCAAATAGTTCTGAGGGCGGCAACAGTTTTGAAGGACTACGGGGTAATTGAGTTCATTTCTGCAAAATGCATGCGAATGGTTTAAGTTCCGATACTGCTCAGCTTCAAACATGTGGTTGCCCTGTCCATCGACGTCCATCTCTACCTGCTGTTCTGGGCTCGGCGTACTGGGCAAGTTCAGGTTGAGCCCCACAGCCAGCAGTGCAAAGCTTGTTTTTGGGGCTGCCATCACATGGGATGTAGCAGTCGACAGGGTCCCAAACCTCATCGCAGCGGTAGGTGAAAAAACCAAGCTTTGGCTCCAGACTTCAAGCATGAAATCATAAAAGGATTGGAAAGTGCCTTCATTGAATCTGAAAACTCCAATGCATATATGATGCATCTAAGCGATCTAAGGCTGGGAGGGCCACAGCAGTGAATGACCAGAATTCCAATTCATCGACGGCGGTCGCACTGGCTGGCCATATTGAGATGCCCGAACCGCTGCTTCTAACAAGTCGCCAGTCTTGTGATGCGCTGTAGGGGATCTACTTGCAGGTTAGACCGTTCGAGGGATACGATACGATGCAATGACGCAGCAAGACAAGCATGAACACCATAGCCCATCTACTTCACCTACTATAGATCTTCCACCCATATGACAGCATCTCTTCCATCTTTCCACCGTTTTTGTACCGTCGTCCCATGCAACAATTCCAGGCCACCGCCCCAGCTCCGCGAGCTCCGGCAGCTCCGGCAGCGGCGCTTCGCTGGCGCTCCACGGCCCCAGCGCTTCGCGCAGCGACGGCGGCGCGAGCGGCGCCCGCGGCGGCGACGTGGAGGACGTCCAGGTTACCGGATGGAGCTGGAGGCTGCGGAGCTGGTGGAGCTGGTGGAAGAAGTCCGACGCGCTGGTGGGCTGAAGACCTCGTCGTTCGAGTCGTGAGCCGGTCGAAACGGCACCGCACGTCGCGTGTGACCAAGTCGCTGAGAGGACTGGCGACGAGGGGCTCGGACGACGCGGGTGGGTGGAAGGTGGAAGGTGGAGTTCTGAAGAACTCCCACCCTATACCCCTCCTCTAAACAAATGGAACTAGATAAGTCACTATATGGAATCACCAGGTCCCGAAGAGGGAGTGGAAAAAGCATGAAAAAACAAAGGAATCCTCATCATCAACCAGCCCGTGTGGGAGTGATAGGCCTGAGGAGGCCTGACATCCAAGCTAGGCTAGTAGCACTTGGCCTTTCCAAAATATTCCAATGAGGCACCAGGTGCTTTCCAGTTGGCCATCGCGCACAGAAGCAAAACTCTCGGCCGAACTTTGAGAAGCTTCTCTGGCGAGCCTTTGAAACAGTGGGGGGACTATGGGTGCACCTCCCCAAGCCCATTTCTCTTCGCCGTGGGGTAATTGACGGCACTGGCCCCGCACTCCACTTCAGATCAGGTCCCCAGCAGCTGCCGTAAGCTGCTTCCTGAGCTCCAGACTGCCCAGTTGAAGCTCCCAAAAGACTTCGCCACATCTCAGCAGCAGTCTCTTCACACTCAGCTCCATCATGTCCTCGATCTCTCCAGTCCTCACACCCCGTACACGAGGGCTCCGCGCCGCATCGCCCAAACCAGCACCAGGGACTGTCAAATACGGAAGGTCCCAAGCCCAGGCTAGGCATTTCTCTGGAAAGATCTTCGACATTCAAAGAATTTCTTCAACAAGCATCAACTAGCGGGGAAAGAATGCTCAAATCAAGGGGGTTGGTGAGTGTGGATGTGTTTACTCAATGATTGCGGTAAATCAGGTAAGCTTGAATCAATTTGACACGCTTTGACAACATTCCACTTCTTCCCATCTTAGAATCTTGCCCTCCGCCGTGAAAAATTCACACCACATCAGACAGGTCGCGACACCCGAAGGCGGGCTACTTGGACACCTTCCGTGGCCACCAGAACCACTTCCTGCCTCAGTTGGGTCAATCCGTGCGGCGCTCCAAATCGGGGCATCCTATGCAGCCAACACCCGTCCAAGGGGAATATTCAAAACATGTAAGCAAAACTTTCAAAACGTTCTACTACTTTCCACTTTATCCATGTTGGCGTCACTTGACTTGTCAACAACTTTTTCCCACCAAGCAGGCGCTACTTCGTGGCTCCCTCATGTTTGGATCACAAACAAAGCCATGATGGCCCTTGAAGGCAGCCTCTGGCATGTTGAATGAGACAATACCGACAATAGCAGGTCGAACTGCTGACTTCTTCCACATGCTGCACGTCCATTTTGTTGCACTCGTCATTGGAGTCGACATCATCTCAAACATGCCCAAAAAACAACTTGAAACTTCCAAGTTTCGTGCTTCAGTGACTTGCACGATTCGAGAGAAACACCAGTCCACGCCTGGCCACCTTGGCCCAAAAGTTTCTCCATGGTCCCTTACATCCTCCCTCAGGGCTCCCGACCCTCCGAAGAAGACCAACACGGGCAACTCTTTCAACCGCCCAGCGCAGCTGGCACCCACTGGCAGCATGAGCCGCAGCGCCTCTGCACGCCCCTGGCGCGGCCACAGCCGCAGCAGGGCTTCGTGGTGCCAATCGTAGGTGCAAAGAAAACCTGCGGCAGAGTTCTTTTGATTACTCTCCAACCAATGACCCCCAAAAGCTCTCTTACAAACACGACGGCACAGCGAGTTCTTGACTTGGACATCGGGTGCCGACATGTCCCTCCAGCAAAACCGAAACCGGCCTCCCAGCGGCTCCGGCACCAGGCTGGCGCCGGAGCAGGCGGGCACGCCGCCCGAACCCGGCACAGCACTGGTGCCCCAGGAGAACTTGCGGGATTGCTGGGACTTGAGGTCATAGACATGCAAGACCATCCTAAAAAATCAGGAGCGGAGCATGGTTGATTTTGGTTTGGAATCGTGGATTTCCTGGTGTAGGGCGAGGGGGTAGGATGAACGGTCCTGAGCTATGTGTGACACTGTGGATGCATTTGTTTGGATATGTTAGGCGCCCATGAAGCGCATGGTTCTGACTTCAATTCCTAGGATGTCCTTAAATCTTCAAATTTCACGACTGGCCTCAGCCTGTTTCCCCGTTTCACGTGGCAATTGGCAAATATCTCCCAATGGCTAACCGCTATCGGCAGTGATATATGACCTCGTTGTGGACAAAACAAAGTATAGAGCCCCAAGGCATCTTAAAAAGTTCAACACAAACAAACAAATGCATGTTTGTACGGCTCTTGCCAAGCCATCGCACCCAAGTCTTTTTCGCTGGTAACTGGTAGGGCACCAAAAGAGGGTGCTCGAACCCCCATCCTCCCGCCGCGCCCGCGCCAACCCAAGAGTCTGGCTGCTCAGAATGCATAAGCAACCTTGCACCGCGGCCATGGACCGCAAGTGGCCCAACCAAGATCCAGTCAAAGGATTGGGCCCTCAGCACCGAGACGCGATCCTGATGGACCAACGAGGAAAAAAACACGAACAGAAGGGCAGGCCTGGTCTGATTCCAGGTAATGTCTTGTCGGACTCTGATGCTCAAGGTTCGACACCTGAAAGTTAAAGTCGTAAGTCATAATTGTCCTTCATGTCCACTGGACCCACCTTCTTCCGCCAGAATCAAGCGAAACACATGAAACTCCAGGTGCCCACGAATCAAAGATCTACTTACATTGTCTTACATATACATTCATACATATTTATGTAGTTATAGTATATGTGGCTCTCTTTACTGTATTTCCCCACCTGTCAGGTGAGGGTTGTTAGACTCTACAAGTCGTCTTTTTCTCCTTCTCCTTCTCCTCCACCCCAGACCCCAGCAGCAAGCGCCAGATCGCAGTGGGCAGTACCAGACCTCAACTGCAAGTGCCAGATCGCAGTGGGCAGTGCCTGGACCCCAACCGCAAGCGCCACATCACAGTGGGCAGTCTCGGACCTCAACACACAACCACAAACATAACCAACAACACACAACGACAAACACGCAACACGCAAGCAACAAAATAGAACACGGCCACAATCACAAACACACAGCCACAAACACAATCACAACCACAAACACACAAACCACAAACACACAAACCACAAACACACAAACCACAAACACACAACCACAAACACACAAACCACAAACACACAGCCACAAACACAATCACAACCACAACCACAACACACAAACCACAACACACACACACACACAAAAAAATAGACACAGCCACAAATACACAGCCACAGTACACAACCGCAACACCCAACCGCAACACAGCCACAACACACAACCACAACACACACACACACACACACACAACCACAACCACAGCCACAGCACACATCCACGACACACAACTACAACACACCCACAGCACACAACCACACAAACAAAACCGCAAAACACGCCCACAAACACACAATCACAACAATATATAACTACCTGTCTGGCATTTTGCGTGGCAAGTGGTCACAGGGTAGCACTTTTAGACGCCAACTGGAGACCCTGGCGACACCCCGGCACGCACGCTGAAAAGCGTGGAGTTGATCTCCCGGGTGACGCGGCTGGAGCTGAGCGCGCCGGGGATGACGGTGCTCCAATCCCAGGGCAAAAGCCTGCCAGACAGCAAGGCGAAGTCACAAGTTGACAAAAACATTCGTGTCACAAGCACGCCTCTCGGGGTTGGGCTGCTTAGCGCGGAGCCGCCGGTAGCCAGTGGGGTCGGGAGTCATGTCCACGTCCACCGCCGACCGAAAGCAGGCATCTGTTTGGTCAAACGCCGCTGCCCGGGCCACATAGCGTTTTAAACATGAAAACATAGTTCTTGCGAAGGCTATAGGCTGGTACATGAATCTTGGTTTCAGGCCTCTAATTATTTCTGGATCTGGCCCGTCTGCCGGGGAACTTGGACACGCCGGCGAGGTGGGCTCCGGCTCCCACGCCGGGGAGGCCGGGGAAGGAACCTGCCACAAGAACGGTTCGATTCAACGCATGCTTCTCTTTACCGTGAACCTACTTTTAGCGTTGTTTGTTTGTTTGTCTGTCTGTTTGTTGGCTTCTGGCCTGTTCCGCATGGGGGTCTGCATCATATGCGGGCGAGGTAGGCGTGTAGCAATCGACCTGAAGGCACAAAGCCGGTGGACAAAACAAGTGGGTAAAGGGGCTCGGCTGACGTTTCGTCGGGCCCGCATGTCTTTGTCCAAAAAGTGTTCGGGCTCCACAGAGGTCAACTCTGGGGTCTCGAACAAAACGTCCTTCCGACGACAAAGCCGCGCCGATTCAACGTGGCCTGGATAAGGCGGACCCCGCCTCCGCCACCTCTTCGCCCTCGGAAGAAGACCTCTCTTCTGCGCGTCTGTGCCATGGGTGACAAAAATCAAGACGTGACAAAACAAAGTCGTGAAAAAGAACCCGGCCTTGCGCCGCATCCTTGGCGTGGTAGACGTAGACCCCGGCCTTGACCAGCTCCTGCTTCTGAACCTGAAAGCAAAAGACAAAAAGCCAAACAAGCGCGATGGAATACGATAGAACAGCACGACAGAGCACCCGGCCTCCAGGTCCAGGCCGCAAAAGAAGTCATAGAAGCCTTTTTGCTTCTTTGTGCAGAGGCTGCGGTCCTTCCGCATAATCGCGGTGAGGAGTTTGCGGCTGCACCTACACAACACAGGCTTGAACAAGACAGTCTAAACCCTGCTTCGCTTTCAAATGCGGGCCACCCCCCCGCCACACGGCCTCTCCAGCTTCACCTTGAGCGGGCCCACTTCGCGGATGTCGACCGGCCCGTCTGCGTGGTTAAACACCACGTTGTGCGACCTACAAACAAGATCAGCATGACGACGAGGAAAGCCATTTTCGTTACTAAGGGGAAGTCTAAGGGGACTAAGGGGCACACATTGCGGTGTTGCCGTTGAGGGCGCGGGCCAACCTGTTGCGTTCCTGCTAGGCGGCATTGATTTCAACTTCAACGGGTTGGACTGCATGCGCTTGGCTTCGAAACCTGTCCTTGCTGGAAAGTGGGTTCTGGCCGGGTTGCTCTGCGGGGCCGGTTGGTTCGTGGGAGCACCTTAGACACGGGTGGGTCTTTGTAGAAACCTAAATGGGAAACATAGTTTTGAGGTCTGCTTTGTACGGGGCTGTGACAATGGGAGCTGCGCGGCATATTCTCCCACACTGAGAACTTCTTCTGGCGTGCGATGGTCATGGCAAGCCGATACAAAGGTTGAAGGAGCATCTGACTTTAAGTGAGCAATGCATGACCAACACGTTCAAGAAGGACTCACTGGCAAATACAAAGTGGCGGTTATGGTCTTCAATTTGAAGCTCTGACATTGCTCCTATATTTCTATAAGGATAAATCTAACCCGTTGTCACGTCGAAGCAAAGCCTGGTTTGAAATGGTATGTTTCTCAAAGCATGGTTCTGTGCGTGTGGCCTCGGCGCTTCCTCTTCGGCGGCGCTTGCCTCTACACTTGCCTTTGTGGATTCGGCAGACCTCGGCGAAAGTAGGGGGAGACGGCAAAACAAGATATGAAGGGAGCGTGCAAAACTACCGGGTTTGTGAGGAGTCTGCTAGAAGCAAGTGATGCGAATGCCAAGTTTGCGACCCTAACGGTCGCCAAGGGCACGGCTTGTGAAACCGCTTCTTTGGCGCTGTCTTGGGCGCCCGTGGCCTTGCTGAGGCAAATGGGAAGTTGTGTCAAATTCAAAACTCAATAATAGGGCAAAAGATCTTTCCACTGCAAACTGATACAAAGATTGAAGAAGACATTGACTTTAACTGAACAAGAGATGAGAGACAAGCAGGCAGTAAGTGCGTGTAAAGACACGTGGTGTTGGTTTTCAACTTGAGGCTCTGACTACCTAACACTAAAATAACAATCCCAAACCCGAGAACCCGCAAGGAAAATCGACAAGACAAAACCCACGACCATGGCAACGTGCTCCTCAGCATGGAATGAAAACAAATAATTGGCATGTCATAATGGGGATCACTCGAAGTAAAAGCAATTCATACCGAGGCCGGTTCAATATTTGTTCGAGCCGTACAGGAGTTGAGTAGAAGATCCGCTTCGCGGATCTTCGCCGCCCGCAGCGAACCCTAAAAAGTGCCATCCGAGGTCATTCAAAAATGACAATGCCATACCCCATCTTCCTCCCATCTTAAACTCACATGGACGAGAATTCACCTGTGGGTTTCGACCATTCAGTGGTTTTGGGGCTCGAGTAGGACACCACCCAGCGACGGTCGGTTCGGAAAGGAGCGCCGATCGGAGGCCGAGCCGCCGAACGGCCAGAAAGCGGAGGATGAAAACAAGAGCTCTAGCATTATGAGTGATGGGCACATATTTATATAGTTTTATATAGATAGACGATGCAACATTTCTGCCTTTCAAGCTGGTTTTTATGCATGAAAAGGCGGACATTTGGCATAGTTGGAAGATGCAGGTATTATTGCACTTTTTACAACCACCTAATTCGGAACATGTCGACGGCAAGTGTTCGAAGTCAAAGACTGGCTCGACTCGTGAATAGAACGTGTTCCGCGGACTGGACACATTTCAGGAGCCCGCATTTCATTTCATGCACAAACATCAGGCAATCTGTTCGCTGAGCCCAGCTGGTCTTTCACTGTGGCACAGTACTGGGAGAAAACCAGGAATGGGTGTCTGTGCAGTGCTTATGCCACCGGTTGATTTATCTGCACCATCGCAATTTCTTGTCTTTAAAAGTTGAATGGCTCAATCAAAAAGCATCTGAGACTGGAAGATTTGTGAAAAACACTATAAAGCACAAACACTCCACCACACACTCCGCGGTGGTCATGCATGCCATCATTGGATTCCAGGTGCAATATGGGCAAGTCGCCCAACCAACGCCATCCAAACATGTCCGATCCAGAAGCCAGTAGATGATAGAGGATCCAGTTGTGGAAGGTTTTACATGGCTAAGCCGGGAAAGCAGCAACCAGCAAGCAATCCATTGTCCACCTCTTAGACCCAAGATGCCCGACCTGGTGTCATGGAGTGCCCCCAGGTAAGCGCTCCGCCAAAGGAGTCCGACATGCAGCGCGGAAATGCGGTGCGAGCTGCACATTCAATGCATGTGTACTTCCCGGAGTTGCTGTAGCACGCATCTCGCACTGTTTGTAGGCGATGATAGTAGGCTTTTGACGATGTCGGCGACCGAACAGCCCGAAACCACTCCCAAAACCGTCGAGGCACCTTGGATCAAAACTCCCTCCTTCGTCACCGAGCCCATGCGAAACCAAAGCTCCTGGCTGACGGGTCGACGTTGAGAAGTGAACATCTGACAGTTTAGTAGCTGATCAGCCCAAATGAGAGCAGTTTCACCCAACAAATTTTGCAAAACACGACGTTAGGACGAGACGCCCACAATCACACTATAGCATGCTATACCTAATCTATTGTGGAGTGCTGAAGCGTTGAAGATCGCTAGCTTCGCATCATGTAGCCGCCTATAGACTATAGATCTTAATAGCGTGTCCACCTCGGCGCCTCGGCGTTGAGACTGGGGGGGGCGAGCACCGAAACTCAGCCGCGTGTCCTCCTCGGAGAATCCTTTGGAGCGTGCCGAATGCAGCTCCAACGGCTGCCAGCTACCTAGCTGGGCACCCAGTGCATCAGATCAGATGCATGGTCTGGGTTGAAACCAGTTCAGAGTACAAGAAAATAGGTCCTTAGGGTCCTTCGTTTCAATGATGTTCTTCAAAGGCTGTTTCTTGAAAGGTCCATTTGCATCGATTCACACCTTTGGGCCTCAAATGGCTTCAGAGGCTTTGGTCAACCTCAGCCTCTGATCGGCTGGTGCTCCCTCGCACAGGCGAGCCTTCCGCAGCTTCTCTGCTCCAAAGGGGGGGCCATCTCATCAAAGCTGACGGCACTGATCTCATCTGACATAGAAAGCATGGAAGAAAAGAAGCTCGTCGCTTTGAGAACATCATCAGGGTCTTTAGGCGATTGCGCTGCGCGCTGAATGCTGGGGGGTTAGGTGTGCTAAGCTGGGTGGAGTAAGTTCTCATCTCGCCACCCCTAAGCTCCAAAAGAATATAAATTAAATCCATTGGCTGGTGAGGAAAAGAAGGTCGTTTTCAAGTCTTTTGGTGAGTCTTTCAGGGTGTGGAGCAGTGGAACTGACGTTGCACCGGAGCAGTGCCATGCCCAGCTCACGGTTTTAAAATCGCCACGTCCTTTGCACTTTCGCTTCAACCTCGAAGTTCTCTGGAAACTATAACGCGGCCCCGGTTTCCCCCAACCCATGCCAGCACCCTCATATCCTCTCTCTGACAAAAGGATCATTGTGGATCCTTTTGAATGCGTTTGATGCGAACACTGAGTGATCTCATCCAACTACATCTCCCACCGTCCTACCTGCACACCTTTCAATAACACGTGCATCCTCACACCCCTCAATCTCCAGCCTCCCACACGCCAGCGCCGCAGCTCCCCGCACCTCTCCAGCTGCCCCAGCCATCGTGGCTCTAGGCGCTGCCCGCCACGTGCGCCCGAAGACGCGTCCGCTTCGGTCGAGACTGGAAGGCCATGGCGCTCGAAGACGGACCGGAGCAACTTCCGGAGCTCCGGCTCGAACGAGTCGAAGGCAAAGACGTTCTCCTCGAGGTGGGGCGGCGTAAGTCACTCGGGATGAGCGTGTTGGAACTTCATGCATGATGTTCTCTGTCTGCGGACCGGCCCCCAAGTCAGGTGCGACCCCAAGGACACCCCAAATAGAGCCTCTAAGAGGCGATGGTACAAACACCTTTTGGAAGCTCCAGGTGGATGTCGGACGACAAAGAATCTGATGCGGAAGCCACTCGGCTTAGACCACGCCGCTGTCGGGTGCAATCACAATCACATGCCACGCCACTATGGTTGGATCTTTTTGGCTGCGACGAGTTAGGTTTTTAGGTGTCCTAGTGGTCACACTGGGCCCCCTAATTACAAAAAAATAGAAAAAATAACAACTGATGTTATACTAGGTTGGAGGCCATCTCTACTTAGTGTGCCCATGACTACTATAGCAGCTTTCGTGCTACGACGAACCTTTTCGCGATGCCACTGCCAAGCATCGAGAACCTCAGCCAGAGAATCCTGAGGAAAGGTCTCCAAATGTCGAACGAGGTTCACCAACTCCCTGGTCGAGTAGGGATAGGACAGCTTTCCAGCCTGCGACTTCGACAGAAATTAGCGCAGGACGCGGCGTGTGCTGGAAGATTGGAGAGAGAGAGAGAGAGTGCCCCTCCAATGGATCTCAAGCTCTGTTGGGTGGCGAAAGTTGAAAAGATGACCCTCTTTGGAGTGTAGTTAGGGGTGCCTGATGGTGTCATCCACATCCCTGCTAGGACTAGGATGTGTGGATAAAACATGATAAAACCATACAACACCCCTCTGATAGATATACGGGGTGTGCCGGGCTCGCAACCATTCTGCATATGACGATTGATTCACGAACTAAAGTCTGAAAGAGATTGGATTGGCGCCTCGACCATCTGCCTCAACTCCCCAAAGCACGAGGACAAGAGTCGCAATAAGTCCAGTGGCACTGAGGGGGGCGTACGACCTTGGGAGGCAGAAGGAGCCCTTTGTGCTTCTGCCCGCGCCACGTGAAACGGGGAAACAGAAAAACGACCCCCACCCTGGCGGCTGGTGGAGGTCATGAACTGGTGAGGTGGAAGTCTGCCCAAGGCTTGACTTCCAAATGCATGTTAAGAGGGACGGTGGGAAACATGTTTAAACTCTATAGTTTAAACTGATGCATCCACCTGCCAGATTCATTTTTTTCTGAACACAACTCCCTGGATGACCATCATGGGAGTGGGGTTCCCCAGCATGCATGGGTTTAAGCTCTTCGGATTTCAAATGAGGACCATCCGAACTCGGGGCCGTTTTCCATCCGCGGCCAGGCCCGGCCCAAACCGTTCGAGGTGCCGCAACATCGCCACCTCCGACGTCTCGTCGGGGTTTTGGATCGCGTGGCACGCGAAGCCTGGAGCGAGACGCGCTGATGTGCGACATGCCATGGAAGGATTGGTTTGTTGATTCGTCCCCTCTCGTCGAGATGAATGCTGTAAAAATAAAGGCCCAAAAAAAAAACTCATATAGATACTCATAGTAGTAATATTGGTGGATACTGGCGATATTGGTGGATTCAAGAAATGATCTCCTCCCTCGGTCGAGGTGCAATCGCCCATCTCTCTGAAGAAGTCGTTCCCCAAGAACGGAAAGCCAGGTCGATTCGCCAGAGCCACCACCTGCGTGGAAGAGTCAGGCCGTAGGGGGCAAGGTGCCATGCTGATCCATGCTTGGAAACCTATCAAACCAGAAAGAACTGGTTGTTGCAGTCAAGATCCTCTGCATACAAAGTGGTTACCGACTGGGAAACCTCCATGATTTCTGGTGGTGTGGGTTTCCAGGTGTGTATCACATGGTGAGCTCTCTTGGACTGTGATCTAGTCAAAGATGGCATGAAATCATGAATCATGCGGATCTTTCTTTTGGAGGAGATGCATACAGTTTTGTGTAATTGTGGGTGCCCTCCAGGCTTGCTGCACGAACTCTCATTGGCACTCTCCAATCAATTGACCCAGTTGAGCCCAAATAGACTAAAAAGTAGACTAAAAATGACAGAAATGGTTTCCAACACATGCATGTTTAATCCACTCTCATTCACTCTTCTCTTGTTCTATGTATGTGTATATCATATATATATATAGATCTTCTAACAACTAGGGGGTCCCACACAATCACCCTCAATCTTGGCGTCCGGTTCCTCATGCCATGTACATCCATGTTCTTTCATGTTCCATTTTCACCCTGCACCTCCCTTGTTATCTCCATGTACACTCCGACTCACTAACATGGAAGTGGACCCCCCCCGTTTGTAAAGGAAAGTAGCCTTCCAAGGGACCATGCCATCCACTTCCATGTTAGTGAGTCAGAGTGTATCTCCATGTCTTCCCCGGCCTGGAACTTCGGATGAATCCCCACGGCGTCGGCGTCCTCCGGACGTCCGTCTCGCAGGAAGCGGCGCCCATCCACCAGGATCATCTCGCCATCTTGCCTTCGTAGCCAACGACCCTCCAATACCCTCCACCGACCCACCAACTCCGCTTCGGAGACTTTAGACCGACCCTTTGGTCTGAAGGCCTCGACCCACTGGACCGACCCTCCACCAACGACCCTTGGCCCTTCCGGCTTTTCGGGGTCTGGAGTCTGGACTCAGGACTGACTCACCCGTCGACTTGCTCCCCACCGGTCGCCCAGTCGGCTCGACCGGTCGCGAAGGTCTGAAGGGTTGACCGAACGTGCGTGCGACCAACGCTTCCGGCAGCAAGGCCGCATCGAATCACCCCCCCGACAATCAAAACCAGAGCCGAGGTGGCAAAAGCCCCTTCAGAGTGAGCACCACTTCCTCAGCGAAGGTAACTCACCAGCATGGCAGCTTTTCAATTGCAAGCCGTGGCCAAGTCACTTCACATGGCAAACCCAGCCAAGTACATTGCAGCTACAGCAGGGGAAAAAAAAAAAAAAAAACACGAAAAATATGTGAAAATACCTGGTGTACGGATGAGATATGATGTAGTCCCGGCGTCTGTCTCCACATGCAGGAAATTGTCCCATCCGCAAGGACTCTAATCCTGGGCACCACACTTCTCTTCCTCTCTAGTCTACGTCTCCTCTCAGCCTTCCGCGCGTCACTCGCCGTGCCCTCCCGGGCTCTCCCGGCCTCGCCCCAGCCGCCGAACTCCGCCCAAGCCTCGGTGGGCGCCTTGTCGAACTCGTCGATGACCAGCACCCGGCCGTAGCGCATGGCCTTCACCAGCGGCGAGTCATCGAAGCACACCAGGCCGTTCCTCCGCGTCGGTGTGCCGAACCGGGAGACCGGAGGACACCGAGGACGGTCGGAACGGTTGAGAGATGAGGGGAGAGACACGAGAGGTGGGGATGAATTCCAGGCTGGTCAGTGAACGGGTCCGAGTTGAGTTGTTTCTTTACAGAAACCCTGCAAAGTAGATGGAAATTGATTGAAATTGTTCGGACTGTCAATGGCTCCTGCCGGATGAAAGGATTGAAAGGGGAACTCAAAAACAAGCACTGGTGCCAGCGAGGATGGTGTGGCGTTTGAAGGTGGGATGCCAGTAGGAAACAGGGAGCTCGTGGACCAGATGTGCTTGAATTACCGCACTTCAATGAAGCAACCTTGTACAACGACTTCACATCAACCAGCAGATCAGTGACCTTAATTACAGTGGTTTCAGAGTAGATGGCACTGGCACCCCTACATGTCTTTTAGATGGGGGTCCATATGTTCACCGCCTCTTGGGGTTGTGCCATCGAGCCTCTGAAAGCACCGTAAGTGGATCCGGCCCCAACTACGTGGCCAGTCTTCAGAAACAGATCGAACTTCCACGGGGGTGAGGGCGAGTTTGCTTCACTCACCTCCAGCGCCCCGGGCGAGGCTCGGACGATCCCGCCACCTCCCCCACCGGTCGCGCCCCGTCGCTCGCTCCTCAGCGTGGGGACTAAGGTCAGCGACCCCACCGTGGTGTCGCGATGCAGCTGGATATACTCACCTGGCACCAAAGGAAACGAACAGCGGGGCGTTTCAGGTGAACGGCGGGTGTGGACCACAGTCAGCCTCAGTGGTTTTTCGCCTCAAAGCTGCAGGTCCTGGAAGGGCATGGTACATCAAAGGAATCTGAAACACGATCGACCAACAGCAAAACGAACCCAGCCGCG